TATCTATCTGTCTGTTGTTGTAGCCAGATCCTATATCTATCTGTCTGTTGTTGTAGTCAGATCATATATCTATCTGTCTGTTGTTGTAGCCAGATCCTATATCTATCTGTCTGTTGTTGTAGCCAGATTCTATATCTATCTGTCTGTTGTTGTAGCCAGATCCTGTATCTATCTGTCTGTTGTTGTAGCCAGATCCTATATCTATCTGTCTGTTGTTGTAGCCAGATCTTATATCTATCTGTCTGTTGTTGTAGCCAGATCCTATATCTATCTGTCTGTTGTTGTTGCCAGATTCTATATTTATCTATCTGTTGTTGTAGCCAGATCCTGTATCAATCTGTCTGTTGTTGTAGCCAGATCCTGTATCTATCTGTCTGTTGTTGTAGCCAGATCCTATATCTATCTGTCTGTTGTTGTAGCCAGATCTATATCTATCTGTCTGTTGTTGTAGCCAGATCCTATATCTATCTGTCTGTTGTTGTAGCCAGATTCTATATCTATCTGTATGTTGTTGTAGCCAGATCCTATATCTATCTGTCTGTTGTTGTAGCCAGATCCTGTATCTATCTGTCTGTTGTTGTAGCCAGATCCTGTATCTATCTGTCTGTTGTTGTAGCCAGATCCTGTATCTATCTGTCTGTTGTTGTACCCAGATCCTATATCTATCTGTCTGTTGTTGTAGCCAGATCCTGTATCTATCTGTCTGTTGTTGTAGCCAGATTCTATATCTTAATTTTGGCATACATACTTTATGGATGAACCATATTCACACCAATTATTTTTAGTTTATTGTTTATTATTTTCTGATAGGATAGTAGACGCTCATGATGCTGGAATCACCACCATGGCTTTGATCAAGAACTCTGAGAAATCATGTTGGTAAGATAAGTGCAATGTAAGTTTTCTTTAATTGAGTTACACGGTTTTTGTTTCTTTCATCTACCGAAACGAAGCCAGCCTGATCCTTCAATATTACCGTTTCAAGAGGACTGAAGACAACTTAGGATGTATTTTTGATGGCATCCTTTAACAAGAATTGTAAATTTAGGCCCAAAATCTCTTTAAGATTTAAAACAAATCTAAACAATGTTTGTTTGTTTGGTTTTAGAGCAAAACCACATTGAGTCATCTACAGCTGGGAATCGAACCTAGGGTTTGTGCTTGTAGGAATGAACACAGAAAGTTTTCATTGTTCCAGTGTGGGTTGGCGAAATTTGGGGCTCATTTATTCCCTGCGGTTGACAGAGCGTTGATAGTCTTATTGTTATGTATGCTATAGTTCGCGGTTCGATTCCCCGAGGTGAACAGAGAGCATATAGTCCTTATTTGCTTTCTTACCATTGTGATTCTTGGTGGATTCTCAGGTATGTCTCTCTAAAGTATAGGAAGATAATTGGACTTGAGTGTGATTTGTGACACGTCTGTATGAAAGTTTCAGTGGTTTAAATATAACAAGGATATTAACCCTAAAAAATAATCTTCTTTGTCTAGATGTAAAAATATAGCATTTTGTTATATAGTTAGTTAGAAATTACTTTCTTTGGTTTTTATTTTACAGTATTACAATTAAAGAAAAAAATTATCGCATATAACGAACACACCATAACAATTGTTGTTGTATCAAATGGCTTATAAAAATAATGTTCCAACTACGGCTTGATGAGCTCTGGATTGAGAGAAACGCGTCGTCGGCAATGGATATGACGAACATAGTATGGTTTGAATACTGTTATTATATAACCTTCTATTCTTGAAAATTCATGAGAGACTAGATAAAGAAATTAGTGTTAAGAATATAATAGGCCTAATACAAGGTATTAGGCCTATTATATTCCTGTATTAGGCCTATTATATTCTTGTATTAGGCCTATTATATTAAGAAGATAATAGGCCTAATACAAGAATATAATAGGCCTAATACTAATATTTTATAACAAGCATAATTAATTAAAGTCATGCTTCGTCAGCTTTTAAAAGATGTTCACACCATAAAAAATGCTGTTGGCTTATGTAAATTGTGTTCCTACCATTACTATGTTTGTTGTATCCCGTCAGGCCTGATGAGCTCTGGATTGAACAAAACGCATCATCCGTGATAAAATATAACAGAAATACTATTGTACACTCTATTTCTAGTCAATAAACCATAAGGGTCTGAAAAAAGAATTTGGTGTTAAAATACATAATAGGCCTAATACTAATGTCTTATGATAAACATAATTAATTAAAATTGAGTCCAGTTAGGGATAATTTTCTTCAATATCTAATTCACATCTATAATTCTCGCATTCTTTTTATGAACTTAATAATCACCATTCAACAACAACAACAAAAAAAATGTTTTTTTTTCAAATCTGGAACTGAACATTTCTCCACCTCAGGGTGGTGACAGGATCGTTTGACAAGACTGTCAAGATGTGGTCAGATGATGGGAGGATGGTTTACAAGTTGGGATGTTTTATCTCTACCATAACAGGATTATGTTTCACCACTGTCACTGAAACACTGTGGGTAGCAGGAGGTTCAACAGCCCCCCTGCTGTTTGACCCAAAGTCTGGTGATAATGTAAGTAACAGATTTGTTTGTCTTGTTTAAATCAAATACTAGTGACAACGAAAGTAACAGATTTGTTTAAGCCAAATACTAGTGACAACGAATATAACAGATTTTATTAAGCCAAATACTAGTGACAACGAAAGTAACAGATGTTTTAACCCAAATTCTGGTAACAACGTAAGTAACAGATTTGTTTGTTTTGGTTCAAAGAAAATCTGCACAATGGCCTATCTGTGCTAAGACTGATAGCAGGGATCTAATCCAGAATATCAGCATCATAAGCTTTTATCCTCACCGCTATGCTATATTATAAACATCACGTACCCCTATAATCATTACCTAAACCTGGTATATGGTATTTCTGTAACTAATACCAATGAATATGGGGGGAGGGCTATATTATAAACATCACGTACCCCTATAATCATTACCTAAACCTGGTATATGGTATTTCTGTAACTAATACCAATGAATTTGCATGTGAGTAACTTGTAACGTAATACGGTTATTACCAAACATTGATTTTTGTTGAAATAAAAATATGAATATATATTTATATTGTAATATTCAACTTGAACGGGTTCACTGATTAGCATTAAAGGGAAAGACGTAATCCAACAACAGCCGTCTCCCTATTCCATCCAGCTATAAACTGAACAAATGGTCACTTCTTTAACTTCAGAAGCTGAAACCATGGAGAGTGTTCTGCAGTATCACATCTCGATCCACAGCCCAAAACACTAATCACTAGGCCACACACAGACCTATATTTAAATATGATACTACCAATTAAATTCTAGTGCTTTTCTTTGATAATAAAACAAACAGTTTACAATTTTTATAAGGTTTTGAATTCTATTTAATAACACTTTGTGAATACTAATATTTAATAACACTTTGTGAATACTAATATTTAATAACACTTTGTGAATACTGATATTTAATAACACTTTGTGAATACTGATATTTAATAACACTTTGTGAACAC